AGCGGCGAGTCACATGGTCACTCACACGGTAGTGAGGAGTCACATGGTCACTCACACGGTAGTGAGGAGTCACATGGTCACTCACACGGTAGGTTATTGTTCAATCCCTGAACGTTTTTTTGTAACCCAAGTTATAATTCGGCCCAGTGGAATGCAAGAATGTGATTTATTGGAAGATGTTCTTTTTTGACTTTTCTGAGTCAGTCCGAGCTTGGTTTCTGTCGCAGGTGCAGGTCATGGTCACATGATGTCGGTGGGGCTGTGGGTGCTGGCTGGCATCGTTGCGTTTCTGGTGGTCGAGAAATTTGTTCGTCTTTTGAAGGGAGACCACTCTCATTCTCATGGTAAGAGTCTTAAACTAATCCCATTACATCAGGGCTGCTCGATTATGGCAAAAATCATAATCACGATTATTTTGGTCAGTATTGTAATCACGATTGTTTAAAATGATTTTGACCAAAACCATGATATGACCAAACCTTTATATGAATTAATTATTTAAAGGTAGTGATATATATATCAAACATGTATTTTCTGTAAATAAGGTTGCTATGACATCTACATTTTGGAAAAAAAAAAAAATAGTAAAAAAAAACAAAGGCCTCAAAAATTATTCTAAAATAAACACTCCGTAATACAATAAGAAATCTAAGGTTTTAAGTGCTTAAGTCTAAAGTATTCAGTGAACAGCCTACAGAAATTGAATAATTGTAAAATGTAAATAAATGTAAAATAAAACAGCATAGTCTTCACTGTAAGAATCAAACTTGCTCCGTTTCTTATTTAAGCTACAAAAGCCCTTCAGTCAAGAGCAGTGAGTTATTTTCTCTTTTGTATTTGTTATTTTTGATTAATATTAAGCACAGAGACGGCAGAAGGAATATTACCTTCATGGATCCAGTTTACTGTTACTCTCGTATTTTCATTCTCAACAGTTTACATACTCTTAAGAGATAACTGCAGAGGGTTTACGTGAATAATCACTACGCGCCGAATTTTGACACATCTGTGCGTGTATTTGAGTGTTTAGGCATGCACCTTGAGCTAAACGTTCACTCTGTGTTCTGCTCTGTCTCCGAGTGCATGCACAGAACAGCACAAGTTCTCTCTGGAAAGGGGGCAGTGATTATTTTATCTCGATTATTGTATTTTCATAACCGTTAGGAACAGCAGATAGACTGAGCAGCTGTTCCCAGTGATGTAGCAGAAAATAACAGCACATTACCATCAATCCTGCTGCTGCTAAATAATACTGAAATAGAATTAAAATATATATTTTTTTATTTTTATAAATAGATTTATTTATTTTAATTTTTTTTTACGTGATCTGGACGTTGCTGACAGGTTTCCAAATACAATAAAAACCCTTTCTTGCCATGTTTTCAGCTGCTCCAAAAGCAAAAGACAGCGATGAAGAGGATGATGACAAGAAAGCAGAGAAGGAGAAGAACGCTGACTCTGATAAGAAACCTGCGCAGAAACCCGCCGAGACGACTTCCGGTATGAAAGAGCTCCGGTGTTTGAGCTGTTGTGTGTCAGCGCCGTTGTCTCGCTGACAGGAAAACTCTGTGTGTCTGCAGATATTAAAGTGTCGGGTTATCTGAACCTGGCTGCTGATTTCACCCACAATTTCACGGACGGGCTTGCGATCGGAGCGTCGTTCCTGGTCGGCCCGGCGGTCGGCGCCGTCACCACCATCACCATCCTCCTACACGAAGTGCCACACGAGATCGGAGACTTCGCCATTCTTGTCCAGTCGGGCTGCACCAAGAGGAAGGTAGAGAGCTGATCTGCCAAATGAGTCGAGCCAAAGAAGAGTTTGGAGTTTGTTCTTCACCCTGAATTGTGCTGTTTTCTAGGGGTGTTGAAATGCATCGATGCATCTGGACGATTCAGTGTTGTTTTGTAATTGATTTTTTTCTTTGAAAAGCAAGACAAAACAGTAAAAAGCACATTTTGGCTATTTCATTTATGCAATAGTTAAGAAAATTGGCAAAATACATGGGGAAAAAAAACTTGAAAAACCGTGTTCGGCCTTCGGCCCCGTGTTTCATTTTGTTCCGTTTCGGCTTCGGCCAAGAATTTTCATTTCGGTGCATCCCTATTAGCGATATGAACATGACTGTTTAAAACAATCTTACATATTAAACAAACTTGAAGCATTACGTAAATGTTACATGTATTATATTGTTTTTTTTTTACAATTCATAGTCTTCACTGTAAGAATCAAACTTGCTCCGTTTCTTATTTAAGCTACAAAAGCCCTTCAGTCAAGAGCAGTGAGTTATTTTCTCTTTTGTATTTGTTATTTTTGATTAATATTAAGCACAGAGACGGCAGAAGGAATATTACCTTCATGGATCCAGTTTACTGTTACTCTCGTATTTTCATTCTCAACAGTTTACATACTCTTAAGAGATAACTGCAGAGGGTTTACGTGAATAATCACTACGCGCCGCATTTTGACACATCTGTGCGTGTATTTGAGTGTTTAGGCATGCACCTTGAGCTAAACGTTCACTCTGTGTTCTGCTCTGTCTCCGAGTGCATGCACAGAACAGCACAAGTTCTCTCTGGAAAGGGGGCAGTGATTATTTTATCTCGATTATTGTATTTTCATAACCGTTAGGAACAGCAGATAGACTGAGCAGCTGTTCCCAGTGATGTAGCAGAAAATAACAGCACATTACCATCAATCCTGCTGCTGCTAAATAATACTGAAATAGAATTAAAATATATATTTTTTTATTTTTATAAATAGATTTATTTATTTTAATTTTTTTTTACGTGATCTGGACGTTGCTGACAGGTTTCCAAATACAATAAAAACCCTTTCTTGCCATGTTTTCAGCTGCTCCAAAAGCAAAAGACAGCGATGAAGAGGATGATGACAAGAAAGCAGAGAAGGAGAAGAACGCTGACTCTGATAAGAAACCTGCGCAGAAACCCGCCGAGACGACTTCCGGTATGAAAGAGCTCCGGTGTTTGAGCTGTTGTGTGTCAGCGCCGTTGTCTCGCTGACAGGAAAACTCTGTGTGTCTGCAGATATTAAAGTGTCGGGTTATCTGAACCTGGCTGCTGATTTCACCCACAATTTCACGGACGGGCTTGCGATCGGAGCGTCGTTCCTGGTCGGCCCGGCGGTCGGCGCCGTCACCACCATCACCATCCTCCTACACGAAGTGCCACACGAGATCGGAGACTTCGCCATTCTTGTCCAGTCGGGCTGCACCAAGAGGAAGGTAGAGAGCTGATCTGCCAAATGAGTCGAGCCAAAGAAGAGTTTGGAGTTTGTTCTTCACCCTGAATTGTGCTGTTTTCTAGGGGTGTTGAAATGCATCGATGCATCTGGACGATTCAGTGTTGTTTTGTAATTGATTTTTTTCTTTGAAAAGCAAGACAAAACAGTAAAAAGCACATTTTGGCTATTTCATTTATGCAATAGTGAAGAAAATTGGCAAAATACATGGGGAAAAAAAACTTGAAAAACCGTGTTCGGCCTTCGGCCCCGTGTTTCATTTTGTTCCGTTTCGGCTTCGGCCAAGAATTTTCATTTCGGTGCATCCCTAAATTTGTTTTGATTTATTATTAATTTGTAATCATTTTAAAAAGTAGCCTGCTTACATAATTTCATAAAATTGCACAAAATAAATGATATAATGGTGATGAATTGAATTGAATCGAATGGAATGGTTGACATGATAGTGGTAATGGAATGGTGACAGTGATATGACTCGCATCTCTACTGTTGTGCTCAGGCCATGTGTCTCCAGCTGCTGACGGCCCTCGGTGCGCTGGCTGGAACCGTCTGCTCTCTGCTGGCTGAAGGGGTGGGAGCCGTGGCCACCGCCTGGATCCTGCCCTTCACCGCCGGAGGCTTCGTCTACATCGCCACCGTCACCGTGCTGCCAGAGCTGCTGGTGGGCCGCTCCAGTCTCTGGCAGTCGCTGCTGGAGATCCTGGCCCTGCTGTTTGGCGTGGGAATGATGGTGCTGATCGCCGAGTACGAGTGAGCCGTGTCTGAGAGAAGAAGCTGTAAAACCAGGCCAAGAGACCAGTGCAGGGTCACCTGACCTCTAGAGACCAAGAGTGTGTTGAGATGAATGATAGCATTGACCACAGAAACAGAAAAACTGAATGAATGAGGGAGAGAGTGAAAGAAATGAAGTGCTGAGCTGCACTCCAGACCAACATGAATGGATCACTTAATCATTTTAGGCACAGGAACCTTCCCAGGGACCAGCAGCTAGAAAGTCCCCTGCGCTTCTGTGTACTGATACAGACAGGATCAGACTCTGAGAGATTTGACCATTACATTCCCAAGATGCATCGTCTGTGTTTGCTGGAGCGGTCCGATAAATGCTCGTGTCTCATCAGTACAGCTTTTCTAGAAATATCAGTTATGTTACATGATTAAATCGTTTGATTTTGCTATTCGCACAATAAAGGTTAACGTGATTTTTTTTTTAAGCAGCGTGTGCTTTCTCTTTGACAGGGAGATTCTTTGATTCCTCTGATGAAATATTCAGCTGCATAGCTGTTACTCAGTGACACACTCTCTCACACACACACACACACACACTCATACACACACATAGCTGGATGATGACATCACTGAATTCAATGATGAACTGCCTTTAACTGAAAAATTAGTGTTTACTATTGTCATTTTTGCATTATTGACACTATTTTCCTAATTAATGCTGTTCAGTTGCTTTGACACAATCTGTATTGTTAAAAGCGCTATATAAATAAATGGGACTTGACGTGACTTGACACACTCATACACACACACACTCACCCACGCACACACACACTCATACACACACACACGCACTCATACACGCACACACACACACACACTCACTCATACACACACACACACGTTCACACTCTCACACACACGTTCACACTCACACACACACACACACTCTCACACAGACACACACACTCAATCAATCAATCACACACTCTCACAGACACACACACACACACATTTCTCATGAGTCTCCAGAGGAATCTGCAGCTTGACACTCATTGGTGATGGTTCTTCAGAAGGTGCAAACACCATGTTTATTGAATTTCAGTTTAGTTTTGGTGTTTATTTCTGTTCTCTTTGCCTGTAACCATATTCATGCAGATGTTTGCATCTCTTCTTCTTGAATGTGTTTAAATATTTGCCTATAATGTAAACCCTTTACATTCACATTGAGTGTAAATCAAGCATATCTCTACACAAACAGAAGTGGATGCAATGTTGTTCAATTTCAGTTCAATAAAAGAGTTGTACATCTCTAAGAGGCTGTGTTCAGAAGAAATCTGAGAAAGCATCTTCTGGTTCCTCCTGATGAGTGTTGGTGAATCACTGCTGACGTCTGAGGAGAGAAACTCCCTGAATAACAGCATCAGGCCAGCGCCTGACGGGTGTGTTGTGGGCATTGCTTACAGGTCCAGGTCAAACACCTGCATTCATGCAAGTCTAAAGAAGTTTATTGCACATTGCCAATTTTATTATTCAGCAGCTGAAAAGCAGACTGTAAGTCTAGCTGCTTAACATAATAATAATAATAATAATACTTAGCGTTAGAGAGTGTTAGTAGAAGCCTAAGTATGAACAATAGCAAGAGTGACGCTTGACTAAGCAGTGTAATGGTCAAGGGTTTTCTAGTTTGACTGGTGGTCTCAGGTTGATGTATGGGTCTGGGGTGTGAGATCTTTTCTCTGTGGGTCGAGTGTGAAGCTTTGACTGCTGCTGCAGTAGCAGAGAGAAGCATCAGAGCCGCCAGTGCAACCCCAGCACACAGCAGTCAATACTGCCAAACCTTTCATCAGACTCCGCTTGTGCTCCTGAATTCATTTCTTGAAAAATTCTCAAATATTTTCTTATGAATCTCTTAAATGACCGGTTGATGCTGTCTGACCTGCACATGATGTTGCCTTATCTAATATAACAAATACAATACTTCTGCTTAATCTTAATTATACATCTATTTATCTATTCATCTTTTTGTTTGCTTTAAATAGAAAGCAAATTGCAATCTCTCTTTTTAATTTGACTTGAATTGAATGATGTATTTTGTATGTAAAGTGTGAGATGATGAGATGACTTTCTGAGACAGTTGAGGAATATTAAGCTTGTCACAAACAATCATACATCACTGTTATCACAGTACAGACATTCATAAAGAGGAAGTGAAAGTAAAAATAAAGGATCAAATGAATGATGCTCTGCAGTCTGCCGTTATTACAGCGAGTCATTCCACCGTCAACTTCTGTGCAGAATTAGCATTGATTTCATGGAAAAAAGGCTTATATTAGTGAAGCTGCATTGAAATTCCCTTCTTTCCTGACTCTCCTCTGAGACACTCAGTCAGATCCTTTGTTCTGTCCTTCAGCTGTCAAAATCACACACAAGCATGAAATGCAGTGAAAGTCCATTTCTGTTCTCATTGATATATGTATAATCTACCTTACATTACACTGACAATGTTAACATTCACATGTTTAGCTTTAAATTCATGTTTCAGTCAAACACTTTAGCACATGTAGTAACTAGCTACTGAGAATCATTTCCTGTATGCTGTGCTTTATCTGCTCCTGAGGACTTGTGTTTGTGTGTTTTATAATGCAAGTATTCATTCATTCATACCAGTCTTTCATTTGCTGTCACAGAATATATACAGCTAGCAAAATAACTATATTTTAAATTAAAAATTGCTTTCAGTTCCAACCTGTTATTTCATATTATTTAATGATACATTTATATAATATATTTGAAATATATACAAATGTACATTCAACATATCATGCTGAGACTTTGGTTTCTGTAATGGAAGTGTTATTATTATAGGTATTATTTGCTTTACTCTACTCAAGAGTGTCTAGATGCTTCATCAGTATGATTATTTTGATGTGCTAAAAGACCAAGAGGAAATGTGTGTGTGTGTGTGTGTGTGTGTGTGTGTGCGTGTGTTTGTGTGTATGTGTGTGCATGCGTGCGTGTGTGTGTGTGTGTACGTGTGTGTGTGTGTGTGTGTGTGACATTCATTCTTTCAAATCCAGTATAAAGTCTTGAGGAAAAGGTGTCACATTCGAAGGATTTTGGATTTGTTAGATCATGCCTATGAAAGTGTGCATCTATGAAGCAATGTGAGTTACTTTAAATGTTTATTAAGTAAATGATAATTGCCAGTCGAAGAGTTTATCGTAAGTGTATACAATATTATTCTGGCATTAAGTGATTTTACTAGTGTTACAGCAGTGTATGGCTCACTGTTAAGCACTTTTTTAAACCCAGTATTGGATTTTTGCATGTTTTTGTGTGATATTGTAATATTAGTAACTGAGTAACTGAATCTCACTTTATTTGAAGTTTATGTACAAGATGTTTATGCTTTTGCATGGAGTTTATGTAAATTACCTGAGCAGCTCTGAGTTTGAATGTGTTCACCATTTCTAACCACTAGGTGGTGAGATTGGCATAAGATTTAGATGTGGTTTATATAGTTGGATTCTTTCATAACATTTAACCTGTGAATTTCACCAGAGATCATGTAAATAATGTCTTTGGAATAATACTTGAGACACTGGTTGCAGATTAATATTGTGTTAAGAACAAATAAGCCTCTTTCAGATGAAGCTGATCGGATCAGATTTTAGTCCATCTAGTGAGTTTACATAGAACAACAATGGTGAATGGCAGCTTCTAGTGTGAAGGCAATAGGATGATCTTCACTGAATGAGTCAGACGTACAGTGACTGGGAAAGGACATGTTCATAGGTTGCGTTTTTGTTGTGGCCGTGACATATGTAATTATGGCAACGTCATAGCATGTTGAGGTCATGACATTAACTTTTTTGTTTTTGCCACAGAAATTTAAAGATTAGGTTGACTGAGAAAAAGTGAGCTAAAGTGGTGTGTACAGTGCTAATAGAATCGATCAGAGCTCCTCAACAAACTATACAGTACATGTTAAAAGAGGAAACATTTTTAAATGTGAAATACTCAAAATTTTCCAGGTGATAGACAAATAGTTGAATGTCTATTACATAAGCAATATTTTTAGCATTGCTTATCATTACAGTTCAGCTGCTGTAAAACTCCCTTTCCACATCTATGCTAGGCTCCTTCAGCCAAGATGTGGTTAGAAGTTTCCCAATCTGCATACTGGTGGAGTGTACCCTAGTAAAAAAAGTAATATATTTAAAATACATTTATTTCATACTAAGTATAGTTCAAATATGTTAACATATTTACTGACATATTGCTCGAGACTTACTAATATAAAAATTATAATTCAAATATATTTGGAGTACTACTTGTGCACAATATCTTATTATTAAGCCTAAAATGTGTTTTAATGTCACTATTGATGGGGATTGTATGATTTTTTAAATAATATCTGCCTTTAAATCCAAGATATTTGAAGTGTACCTAAAGTATACTTGCAATAGTTCCACTTTAGCACAATCACATATACTCCAGTATATATTTAGTTGGACTTCAGCATTACTTCCATACTGTCACAGTGCTGCCTACTGTGTAGGAACGAGGAGCGAAGGAGCGAGGAGGCGGAGGGAATCCAGAACCAATATAGACTTTATTAAAACAATGGAACACACACGTAGCACAGGAGTCGACGAACAATACCGGAAGCTGGACATGGAAAATCACAGGGCTTAAGAAACAAGGAACTAATTGGGACACACCTGAAATCAATGAACATAATTGACATGAGGGAGAAACTAGGTCATGGGGCACGTTGAGGAGGAAAACACAAGACACGGAACACAGGACTGACATTACTACCCCCTCCCCGAAGGCGCGTCCACGCGCCACACAACATCCAATGGGGAGGGTGGTGGGTGCTCTGGAGGCCCCTCAGGCCAGGCTTACACGGGACGGCAGACCTCCAGAGCGGTACCCGTTCCAGGACCCATGGCAGATCAGGCAGTTCAGGGCGCCATGGCAAAGCAGGCAGACTAGGAAGCCATGGCGGAGCAGGGAACTCAGGGGGCCATGGCGGAGCAGACAGTTCAGGGGGCCATGGCATAACCCCCCCCCCCAAAAAAAAAATCATTGGGGAGAATATCGGCTTCTGATGCCCTCCGTGGGCCGGATGTGGGAACAGTGGCCCTCCCTGGGCTTGACTACGGAACTGTGGCCCTCCCTGGGCCAGTCGTGGAAACAGGAGCCTTCTCTGGGCTGGACGTGGGAACTGGAGCCCT